TATATTCAGTGGACATAAGCAAATACAGAGCCTCCGTTCTCTGCTGTTGCATAAAATGCTTATGTCCATATCTCTACTGCCCCCATTTCTTACAATATTTGAAAAACCACCAACTGTGGTGGTGATTTCATTTGATAATATTCTACTAGTGGATAAAATGTATCCAGGCTAGGAAATATACTTACTTAAATAACTGCCTGCTCTTGGATTTCAAGTCCTTCTTAACTATATGTACTTTGCACATATTAGGGTAAACATAATTTTCTTTGTCATTGAAGATAAAAGCAAAATATAAATTCTTTTGTTTCCTCAATGATCACTGCAACATTCCATACTAAGCAATGAACTTAATGCCCTCCGTGTCACTTTATCTAGATTGAAATCTACTGTTTGTTTTAGTGTTCTGACCATTTTACCTAATTCCCAGTACATTTTCAGTTTTAAGAATCTTTATACTGTCCTTATTAGTGTCATACTACTATATTTATAACTGTTACATACAACAACAAAAATTCTTATTGTGTCCTTTCCTCCCACATTAGGATTTTCTATCATAATAGTGCCAGTTTTTTTCTTGAAACTGCGTAGCACACTGGAAATTTTAAAGAAAAATTACCAATAGGCTAAGTTCTGCATAAAGTAACTTTCAACCACTATCTTATTTCATTCATTATTTCAGTAATGAGAATCAGCACTAGCACCTACAAAAACCTGATAGATTATTCCACAGCCAATTTCATGATGGCAAACCCTTCTTAATAGGGTTCAGGATCAAGACCCTTCATACTTTGCCATCATTTCCTAACAAGCACCCTAAACATCAGGTATATATCATGAACTTTCCTGCAGTTTTACAGTTTCCTCTGATAATCATTCTCCTACTGTATTTTCCTCAGTAACTGCCTTATCCTATGAATTGGGATCTTGCACACATCCTTCATTCAACACCTTGTTCAAGAGTCAATTTTCTCTTTTCAGAATACTCCAAGAATTTCATTTCTCTATTTTTCATGTTACATTATACTGTGCTATAACTATCCTATCTAATAAAGAGGGAATATGTTAATTGACCCTCACACCCTTGCAAAGATGGCGGTGCCCACAGCCAATAAGGAGGGAAAATGCTAATTCTGCCCCACCCTCAAAGATGGCAGTGCCCACAGCCACAAGATAGCTGGCAGGGGAAGGCAGTTGGGGGTGACCAGGCCGGCAGGGGAAGGCAGTTGGGGGTGATAGGGCCGGCAGGGGAGCAGTTAGGCATCGATCGAGCTGGCAGGGGAGTGGTTAGGGGGTGATCAGGCTGGCAGGCAGAAGTGGTTAGGGGCAATCAGGCAGGCAGGCAGGCGAGTGGTTGGGAGCCAGCAGTCCTAGATTGTGAGAGGGATCCCAGATTGGAGAGGGTGCAGGCTGGGCTGAGGGACACCCCCCCCCTCAGTGCACGAATTTTGTGCACCGGGCCTCTAGTCTATAATAATAAAGGCATAATATGCTAATTAGACCCCAGGTCCCTGCCAGAGGGAAGCCGGTGCCGGCAGCAGGGGGGAAGGAAGGTCTACTCTTGCATGAATTTTGTGCATCAGGCCTCTAGTCTCATCATAAAAATACAAAGCTACTAGACCAGATGTTTAATAAATGTTTGATGAATGCATTTATTGTTTGATAAACCAAACTACTATTCTAGCAGTTAATTTTTTTAAGAAGTACCTATTAAATTAACCTTATTTTTTAGCTTTCATAAGAACTGTTAAGAATAAAGTAGTGCATAACTTACAATGCTCTCAGATCATTACTATCCAAACATAATTTTTCAAATTACAAAAACAATTCATATACTGAATTCCATGTACAGTATAATAGTTACTTGCTTGCTTCATTCCAAACTATAATACTATAAAGTGGAAAAGCTCCCTATATTAGTTTTTTTTTTAAATATATTTTATTGATTTTTTACAAAGAGGAAAGGAGAGGGATAGAGAG